AAATCTGTTTGCTTTTCATCTGTTCTGGGGGAGGTATTTCCCTTGTGCTCATTCTGGCGCAAGTTACCTAGGAGGCCCAGAAACAGCAGCAGCTGCACTGCAGGTGGGATTTGGGAACAGAACTGAGTTTCTCGCTCTCTGACAGCGATGGGCTAGCCACTCCTGGGCCCCATCTCAAAACATGGGGCTGAGCGCCTCCCCCTCACCCAGCTGACCTGTGGGCTTCTGTGAGGTTTCTGGTCTGTACCTGTCTGTAAGATCCTTTTCCTGACTGTCCCACCTGCCTTCCTAAAGCCTTTTAGAACTCACAACTCCTGTCTGTCCCCAAGCTAACCAGTCCTTGCATGCTGCACCCCTGGGTCTCCAGTGCGCATTCTGCTACAAAGCTGCCTTGCCATGTGCTGTCCTCAGCCTGGAGATGGGGCCAAGAGCCAAGAGGAATTCCTCCCTCTGGAGTTTTAACTCCTCAAGAGGAAAAACCAGGTAAGTAGGTCTGAAGTGTTGGGATGTGGAGCCAGATTTGCAAAGGGGCAGCACAGAATGCTGAGCAGGTAGCACTAGGTGGGACTGGCCTAGTGGAGAGGGTGACAGTTCTCTGCAGCGKGGCCACTGGTGTGATGAGTCTTGGGATCTGCTGTTCCTGCTTTCTGAGGTTATGGGAGGGGACAAGTTTTTGTCCATTTCTACACCTCAGCACAGCTTTGAAGGATGAGTGACTGGCAAAAGAGGAAGCAATCCCGTGGGAGCTGAAGTGTTTGGGGTGGTAACTCCGCCTTGGATAAGGTGAACTCACAGTTACACAGTAGAGGGTTTTGCCTTTGTACCCAAAGGTGCTTGATGAGTGTCCCGGACTTGGAAAGTTAGGTTGGGGGCAGACCCGCAGAAGAAGTGTGGGGCGGGTGTGCTTCAGGAGGGTCTTAAGTGCTAGGGCAGCCTCACTGTGGGTGGCCGGCTATCTTTTCAGCTTTRAGTATACTGGGTTTCCTGGGTGCTTTTTTAAAATACCAGTGYCTTGACCCTACTTCTGGAAAAGGCACCCTGCTCAGTTTTAACTGGATGTGTTTTCTGATTTGTGTCAACTCCAGACTTGCTTACCTAAGGGTTACATTTCATTGCATGTGAACAATTAGGTCCCTGTTCATGCTCAGTGTTGAGCCTGGCTGCTGAGAACAGGCTCATGAAACTTACCCCTCTGTCTGCCAGGCACTGCCTGGGCTGGGGGTATATCTCAGGGGTAAAGCATTTGCCTAATGGTGAGGCCCTGGGTTTTCCCCCCCTGATACTGGGGGGCGGGGAAACAGCTCATAAAGCAAGGTCATGAGTTTATCATGTTATCTGCCTGAGCAGCTGCCTGGTGGTTTCTGCGTGTCATGGAGGATCAGGGCTCATTGGTGAGGAGCTGCAGTTTTGAAGCAGAGGGTTGCATGGCTTGGGTTCTGATGAGAATCCAAGTATCCCCTGGTTTCTATTTGGGCACCAGAGAAAGAGGACACATCAGCGTTGCCTCCTTGTACTCCCCGAGAGGGGAAGTGTCACATTAGAACATTTTTACACCTACTAGCTGACCATTGCTATTGGAAGGCTCAGTAACCACACTCACCTTGGGCTGAGCTCTACAGACAAGAGACCAAGATGACCTGAGAACCCTCTTGCTTCAATGATCAGTAACAGAAAGTTAAGTGGGTGATGGCTTGCAGAGGGGGGAGTTTCCAGATGCAGGACACAAGTGACCCTGGAAGCCTATCAGAGCACCCTGCAAGTGGTGGTTAGCCTCTTGGGGAAATTGAAGGGTGAGGGGCTAACAGGGCTTGAATGTGCAAGGGTTGACCTACAAAAGGGAGGGTTTGGGGCTAGAACTTCCCCAAAAAGCCAGGAACCAGCTTAGTGGGAACTGGACAGTAACCTCATGGCACAAAATAGAGGGTTCGGTATTTTTTTTTCCCCCAAAAATATGTTTGTTGACCAAATACACAAATGAATGAATCAAGAGTAAGAGTTTTGGGCTGGGGATGTGGCTCAAGCGGTAGTGCGCTCGCCTGGCATGCGTGCGGCGAGTAAGAGTTTTGGGCTGGGGTTGTGGCTCAGCAGTAGTCACCCAGCAGGGGCAAGGCCCTGGGTTCCATCCTTGGCACCACATAAAAATGAATAAATAAAGATATTGTGTCCAACTACACCTAAAAAATAAATATTAAAAAGAATAAGTGTTTTRATMTTCCTGGATTCAAAAATTAAAAATTTCAGGCTGTACCTTTCACAGATTTATAATTCAAGAACTCAGAAAATAAATTAAAATTGGTCAGTACTTAGTCCCAACACTGCTACATTTGATTCCCACAGATGGGGCCTATGATCCTAAATTATAAAACAAGGAAACGAACCACATGCAGCAATGGGTATAAAAATCCTAAGAACTTCAGATAACAGGTTGAGCATACAGGAATGACCTGGGCGTGGTGGTACACACCTKTAATCCCAGCTATTTGGGAGGTTGAGGCTGGAGGACTTSTAAGTTCAAGACCAGCCTCAGCCACTTAGTGAGAACCTGTCTCAAAATAGAAGGACCTGGGGCTGTAGCTCAGTGGTAAAGTGCCT